GTGCTGAGCTTTCGTCCATCATATGATGGACATCATCAGAGCTGGGTCTCATTCCTGTAAAAGTGGCACGTTAACACTAGGGAAAGAACAATATCCGGCTTTATATTAATTATTATATAGACTCAATTAAGACAAAAGAAAATGAAAAACCTAGATAGATAGATATAGATTTTTTGATTAATTATCTTTCATACTGGTCCTGTTACGTTTGCTCGAGTGTATGCGTATGTTTATTTGTGCGTGTTAGCGTCTGTCTATAATACGGTTCTTAAATAAGAGTTGTCAGAAGGCTAGTCTCAGGCGCTGATCATCAAAGCCTAATGACCCAAGAGGAAGGCTTGATCGAGATAACATAAGTCTGTCAGCAAGTATGGTTGGGATAATGAGATATGAGCTTGTAAGCATATAAGTCAAGTTACGAAACCATTTGTCCTAACCTTTCAGTCTAGGGTCATTAAAGTTTAACTATTCAAGGAAAGGCTAGTCTTCTGACAACTCTGATTTAGAAACGGTATTACGTATAGGCGCTGACACTCACCCATACACACACACACACACACTCGAGCAAAAGTAACAGGACCAGTATGAAAGATAATTAGCCAAACCACTCTATATCTATCTATGTTTTTCATTTTAATTTGCTTAATTGAGTATATATAAGAGGTAAGATAGAGCCGGATAGTCTTCTTGGCCTAGTGTTAACGTAAGACTTTTACAAGAATGACACCCAGCTCTGATGATGTCCATCGAATAATGGACGAAAGCTCAGCACGTTTTCACCCGAAACGAGGGAAGAAGTATTGTGGACTGCGTCAAAATGAATATCGTATCAAACGAGATTCATCCGTCCTCATCTGGTGAGATCGACCAACGAATCTCTTCTTCATGCACTTTCATACGAAATAAAAGTCACCGTAAAAATAACCACTATTCCATAATTCAAAATTTTCAAGCTCTTCCAGTCTAATCAGGTCAAAGCCCACCCGATCCTCATGATAGCAAGCTAATTTACATGTGCCCTTATTGCTGCAATACCTTAGTTGGTCACTTAATTAATTACTAATTTACATATTTCATATCTCTTTTAATGAATATATGCACTTTGTGTTTTCTTAAGTAACTAGACTATTTTATTTTGACCATCTAGAGGGTAAATTGTCTTAATACAAGGTTATAAGGACCCATCAGTTTGGCCTATATCTTAGGAATTTAGGACACTCATTGCTAAAAGGTGGGCATAGCCACCTAATTATCGTGTCTTTGCTATTCGATTCGTTACTTCTAGTCATTAGCTCCTCATAATTTGCTCTCCTTCGCGTGCCTTCATTACATATTCTAACAATTAAATGCTGAATTGTCAAAAAGTGTTTGATCTATTCCAAGTCCTTCCTCCCAGCATAAAGGTTTTACTTCTTTCATGCTAGATATTTTCGTGCCTATATAAAATCAGAATAATCAATACTTATTGTTATATATTAATTAGATGCTCAAAAAATTATATTCGATATTTAGCATCTTATTGGAGGGTGCGGCTAGACAAGTAGCCTGCGCACATCTTGGCAATTATAACTTGAACTCGAGGCTCATCATGGATGCTGATGATAGCTAAATGAGGTTGAGACTGCTGAACATCCTCAATCTATATCGAAGTTTAATATTCTAGATAGAGCAAAATGTAATGACGAAATTAAGCCTCCAATTCAATTAAATTTCTTTTTCTATTACTGGTACATGATCAAACAGTTTAGCTAACGTTCGTAGTAATCAATGTTAATTAATATTTTATGTACTCAGCTGATTAGATCTTCCAAAAAGTTTATTTATTCTATTTTCATGCTTCTTAATTATTTTCTGCCTGCATCGAGCATCGTAGGGCTCATTTAGAGACGACTT